TGTATAGAGCTGTTCGTTGTATAGAGTTGGTCGTTGTATAGAAGTGGTCGTTGTACAGAGCTGTTCGTTGTAAAGAGCTGTTCGTTGTATAGAGGTGGTCGTTGTATAGAAGTGGTTGTTGTATAAGAAGGTCGCTATAAACAGGTATTCGTTGCCGACTCATCATTGTTGACAACTGTATATAGGTAGTTAATATGTGAAGGAAGGTGGTTCTTGTTTATGCTGGCTGTTTTATTTTTTTCAGAGTGTGTTTTTTTTCGGGGAATGCCGGGTAGCTCGTAGTTTGTAATGTTCTTTTTCTTTCTCCAGCAATGACGTCAGAAAACGAGATTCTTTCTCATTTTGCTGAATCGTCGTCTTCAAATGTTTTTATTTGGTAAGTCCTGTTCTCACCATATGTACCATAGTTATGAGGCCAAGAATTGAGAGAACTACTTTGATTTTCACAGTATTCTATGGAAATTACTCTTAGAGACGGGGAGACTCAGTTCAGTATGCCATAAGTAAGTGTCAGTTTACTGTTGAATCCTCGTCGAGGATGAAAGTATTAAGAAATGCTAATATCTATGCAGGGGCGGATCCAGACATTTTGACAGAGAGGGGAGGAGAGGGGAAGGAGGGGAAGGAGGGGAGGAGGGGGGAAGGGGCACATATATAGATTCTGCGCTCGAGATGAAATGCTTGCATTCGTGGACTTTATTGCTTTACGTTATATTTCCGTTATATTTCATCCCTTACCTCCTCCTCATGGATTCGTCTCTCCTGTACACACAGACGTGACGCTGGCTATTTTAAAGAAACTCAGAAAATGTTGACGGTCTACGGACCATGCATTGATCCGAAATTTCTGGTTTAGTCGGCTTCTAAATCTAACATTCTGTAAATATCTGTGTGTTTTAGGGTTCTTGAACGGCTCGGTGCACGTGCGTTATCCAGGCATATTCGTGTCTTTGCTGATTTTCTTGTGTACGAGTTTTCAACGTCTGGAGGAGGACGACACGTAAACAAGGTACAWCCTACCGCATCTTASTTTCTTCTCCTTCAGTGAAGATTTGATCAGTAGATGGTAATTTTCGTGTATTTTTGTTTTTAGTGTATTCAACATCTGAACGATTTGATCTGGAAGTACAATGTCGTTACTATGGATCGATTGGTTCTGAGCCTGGTAAGTTAAAACTCAGGAGTATTTTTAAGTGTTATTCATAAGATCGTAATCGTTAGCATAACGCGCAAGCCTGGTTCCATTGCGAAGGTCTATCGTAAGACGTTTGCTTCCGCGTATGCTTGCGTCGGTAGGGAAAACAAGCATATCACTAATCATAAAGCTTGGGTTTACTAGCGATTGAAACTAAATCCCATAACCGCAAACATTCGAGAAAAAGCGAAAGAAACTGATCCATGTAATTATGTTTGCGATTATGCTTATTCGTACCGAACACTTTTTATGATCAACTAGGAAAGGCCTCTCAGTCCCTCTGAACATGGGAAAAGCTTGTCTCGGCTCGAACTGTTTCTTTGGTAACCGTCGAGACAAATTTACCTTATATTCTTTGCTATTGATTCAAACCAGTTCTGAAATGATCAACATATATCACTTGTTTTTTTTTCTTTCAGGGTCTTCGAAGTCACGAGGGTAATGAAGCTCAAGTGTGCTTCTTTATTATTCAACTTTTACTACTCAAACCACCAGACTTCAGAACAAGAGTCAACGCTTTTGTTCGTGATGTAAGATTTTACATTTTACTAATCAAATAGTGATTCCTAAGGCTTTACACTTCAACGGAARCAGGAGCAAAAGAAGGGATTTTTTTTACGCATGAAACGGGAAAACATAAGCAGAAACAGAAACATAAAATTTTTCTTATGTTTCTGTTTGTGCTTATGTTAAACAAATGAGTGTGTAAACCTGCGAAACATAAGTATAAGCTCATTCCTATGTCAATTGAACCATGTTCTGCTTCTGTTTCTGCTTGCGTTCAGGAAGTGTGAACCGTCCCCAGGTCGTCTCTCGTTGTATTCCCTTCCCTTTGGCTATCGATACCATTTTCGGTTTAATAACTTATTATCTTTATAATTATCATCGTCATTGTTTTCCTTCCAGCTAATATGATTACGCTGGTAACGAATGTATTGTATACAAAGTTGTCGTTGTTTTTGTTGTGTATAGAATTCTCCTCARCAYTGGACACAAACAGACTGGCACCAGAAACATATGGCTTATCATACGGTGAGTAAACGTGTAGCCTTTGTCACATCTGACGGTTAACCGTAGTTTTGTCCGGATATAACGTATATAGTCTTACATAGTAAGTACACTACGAACAGAAACACTTCCTCCTTACCCAAAAGCGGAATTTAGAGGAAAAAAGTAATAGGCACTTCTGACTTTTGTTCTGCTACAGAAGTGCACTAAACAAGTGGAAATGTTAGATGACTTGAAATTATCCAACATACATTGTTGGGCAATCTAACATACAATCAAGTAACTGCAGACGAACAACTTTTGACATTTTTTCCGCGAAAAAAACAACAACATCAACTAGATAGTCTATGCGTATACGACAGATTTCAAACGCATACTTGCGTAAGATTTAATCAAACATAAGTATAATGACCGCTGGTGGGTCAATACATACTAAATTGATGTCACATGGTGGGGGTAGCGTTTAATTGGGGTCCTTGGCTAGTAATCAAGTGTATTGTTAACGTGTTTCACAGAGTTATCCTGAGCGATTCTACTACGAAGGTTTACTAGAAGCAGCCGGTGGTACTGTCCCTACTATTCAGTATCTGCCTATCTACTTTGGTAACGTGTGCCTACGCTTCCTGCCCGTAAGTTATAGCTACTGTTCGTTTGTCTGTCTGTCCATWTCGTTATTTWTATWTTYTYTKTKKT